TTTTTTTTTGACTCGTCCTTGATTCTTCCAACTTTTACTGACTTTTTTTAGTGATTTTTTTTCTGACTTTTGATTTGTCCTTGTTTTTCTGTCATTTTTTAAAAATCTGATTTTCTTTTTGCCTCTCACCTTGACGGGGCCCTGCAAGTCCTCCACGCGCGCGTAGCACAGCGAGTTGAGGAAGTTGCACTGCGGTGGCTCGAACGGCTCGATCGGCGTGTTCTTGCGGACCGGCAGGTAGCGCGCCAACACCGCGCTGTACGAGTAGCAGATGCCCAGCTCCGTGAGGGCCTCGGTGAAGTTGATGGCCATCGACGTGTCGAACACGGTGGCGCGGAAAAATATATTAGTGTTGACCTGCACATAAAAAGAATAGTGTGAGTTCTAATCGTGTACGCGTAGAAAATTAAGTGGTGGAAGAATTCGTCCGTTTTTCCCTTGAGGGACTGAGACAGAGAGGCTTCGCCCCAATGCGTTAGTTGGGTTGCCTACCTCCCGGCGCGCAGTCCACAGTACGTACCCGGTCGGCGAGATCCAGCATGTCGATTTTGTTGAAAGTACTGTTCCTCGCAAACTCCTTGAACGGCTTTAAAGACGAATAAGTAGCGTTGGCAACTATCTCGACAAACTTGAAGAATTGCATGTAGTCTTCTGTGCTGTTGTCCTGCAGGCCCCATTTCCTTCAAGAAACAAAAACATGCACTGCTGCAGCGTAATGAATCAATGACGACTCGGATACTTTTGCATCTCGATCCTACTCACTCCGCGATGTAGTCGTAGGCCTTGTTGTTGTCCAGCCTGCGGTCGAAGCACATGGTGGCCGAGGGGAAGCTGGTGTTCCAGAGGCGGAAGTCCTTCTCCAGCGACACCACGGTCGGGTTGTTCTGGAAGCGCTTCCACGAGCCGCCGATCAGCAGGGTGGCCCCCGTGATGGAGGAGACGAGCGCCACGGTCCACAGCGCGCTGCAGACCAACGCGTGAGCGAGCTAAGCGGGGCGAGCGCGGCGCACCAGGAGCCCGGTGGGTAGGCAGACCCGGCGCGCACCGAGCGCCCGGCGGGCGGGCACTCCCGTCGAGCGCGCCTGTACCGCGGCGCGGCCCGCCTCCGGGCGCCCAGGCCCCGGCCCCGCCCGCAGCTTACGCACACTTCGACGTAGTTGCCCTTCTCCAGGATCATGTAGCGCAGCCCGTGCAGGGTGGACTGCTCGAAGAACTCGGTGACGTAGGAGGCGATCCTGGCCAGAGGGTTCCTCCTCGACAGCAGGGGCCTGTCGCTGCGCGCGCTCTGCGAGCGCATCGAGCCCGAGCCCGTCGCCGAGACGCGGCGCGGCAGCCTGTGCTGCAGGGCCGCCGTGTGCCTGCCCTGGACCGGCTGCATGCTGCGGCTGCGGCGCGCGCGTTCGCTCGGGTCCTGGCGCTGCTACTCTGCCCCGACACCGCGTCCCTCCCGGCGCAGACTGCGCGGCCTTACGCCGCCGCCCCCGCGACTCGCGTGCTCGCTAATGCCCTGTCGTGCCGCAACCCACCCTCCCTCCGTGGCGGGGAGTTCCCGACAAGTGAAATGCGCGGCAAAAAAAAAAGTGCCGGTGAGGTAGCCAGCTCCGACCAGGAGGAAACGTCAACAGTGTCGTCATCGCGGAGGGCAAGGCCGCGTCGGCTGCACCCCCAACAACGCCACCGCCCCGCCGGCCCCCGCCCCGCCTCAAGTTGCGTACAGGGCAGTACGCGGTGCGCCGGTGCCGCTCCGTGACCGCTGAGAGATACCATCACGGAGATGGAGCGATAACCGTGACCAGGCCATTCCATCACTGCGGCCATTTGCTCGAACGCTTAGTGTCCGGTCGCGGTCGCGGGAGGACTATCAGGAAAAATCAATGGGGCTGTCAGGGGGGCCGAAACACGCATGTGCATTGGCTCTCAAACGTACAGGGAGAATGAGACACGAACCGGTAGCGTTTATAGATGTATTTGAACAAAAGTAACAATCATAGAGTATTGATCAATCAACAGGAATTTAAAAATATAAAGGAAAAAAAATGATTAAGTGATTAATCGATTGAACAGAATAAATAATCATCTGAAGTATTCATAGAAAAAAAAATATGATGTGCTACAAAAGTACATCGATGTACTTATACATAAACATTAACTTTCCATAGAATATAGACATCCGATAAGGGATATCATTGGGGTATTGAAAGTTGAGGCACAGTGTGAAAAATTAATTATCCTATAAACCACTCTGGCACACAAATCATTAGAAAAAATTACTAGATAGTAACCAAGAATACACGATTCTTTGACAGTGATAAAGTTTACATAGAACCAATGGAACTGATATGTAAAAACCTCAAGGTACTCATTTACATACAAAATTTTCTCTCTACTTCCTTAAAGCTAACAAGCAACACTTCTCCAGATAATACCAACCTTGTTGCTTTCACAGCTATAAGTTCATCTTTCAGAAAAACAGCCTGTAAAGATTAATAAACCAGAAAAGGATAACACATTCTATTTGCCTAGAGGCTACAAAAATCAAAAGGCCATCATTTTTAAAATTCTTTTTTACAAACCTGAGTGTTGTAATCTGATTCATCTCTTTTTAGATAGGCAAGAGGTCCAAATAGCACCCAATCACGCCGTCCTTTAAGCTTTGGGAAGTTCCATGATCGCAGTGTCTCCTTTTCTTTATCAGAAGTCTTGAGAAGAAGACCATTTAGACCTTCAATACACTCTCCTTTGAATCTGAAATCAGAATGGCACCAATAGTTTCAAACAATTTTGGAGGAACACATATTTCTAATAAATACTGAATTTTTTCCTGATCATACATTTGTTTAGTGGCTACCAATCTAACAGGCATGGATTTTTTCTTTGAATGCTCTGCATCACTACTCAGACTGCCAGCATCATCCTCTTCTCCTTTCATACCATCAATTACAAACGGCACTCGACGGGAGAAAGATAATGTAAACATTGCCACCTGAAATTTAATTATGAATTGTGACAATATAATTTTACGGCAAGACAAAGAAAGAATGTATCCAAAAGAAGAAAAGTAGCAGTCTTGAGAGAAAAAGTTCTTCCTACCAGTGCTCGAACTGCTCTCGGGTGGAAACCTTTCCAACCTAATCCTAGTATGCGCTCAACAACATTGCTGATGTCTGCGTTACTACGTAAATCCCATAAAGCTCTTGTAACTATTTTCGACTCATAGGTGGGACAAACAAATCTGACAAAATAAAATTTTATTAATTTACTGCTTAAAAAGTTGATGCAACCATTCTTACTTTATTACATTTCATTTCTACTTAAAAATTTACCCTCTTGTTACTCTTCGAGCATTTATTCCACGCCATGGATTCAAAAGAATGTGTGTAGCTAAATCATGAGCTTTTCCAAGCTCAATGATAGGAACACTCCTAATAATTTCAGATTTGCCTTCTGACACCAACACATCTGTAAAATTTGACAGATGGAAGGGATAAGCCCATAAGAGAGAAAAGAAATAAGCTTTAAAAAAAGCACTTAGGTACATAGGTAACATTACCTTGACCATCTTCAGTTATCTGAGAGACAGGGGGTGTATTTGAAGCAGCATCTGAAGGGCTTGAATTGATGTCAACAACATCTATCTCATCATCAGATTTCTCTTTAAGCCATTTCCTTTTCAACTTATTGACTCTTTCTTGTATTTGGTCATGGAAATTATTTTTATCCTCTCCTTCATTCACTGCTGTAGCCTTAGTAGTAGGACAGACGTCACTTTGTTTCATTTTATCCATCATTTTCTTTTGGTTCTTCTTTGTATTTACCTCTTTTGTGATCAATACAGTTGAGTTACAAATCGCTTCTTCAGGTTCAGTTTTACTTTTGTCCTCTCCATCTTTCACTGAGATGGCCTTATCATTAGAGGTAATATCATCTTCTTTAATTTTGGCCATTATCTCCTTGTTATTTTTCTTCACAATTGTCTCTTTTGAGCTTGATATAGTTGTTGTGCTATCAGCTGATTCATCAGCCTGCTTATTCTTCGTTTTGTTACATTTTTTATTCAACAAAACTTTTGCCTTGCTATCTTTCAATTCTTGTTTTGGCATGGCTAGACCAGCAAGACCAGAAATAGTCTGATCAACGCTTAATTCATTCGAGTTTTGAGATGCCGCTGCCTTCAATCTTTTTGATGATCTCAATCCTGATGAAGCTTTCTTAATCACAGGAATACCTTCAGATGGATTTTCGGACAACATGATTCAGAAGGAAAATTAAGCAATAAGATAACAATATTTTTTAAAAAATAGAATACTGTACCATTAGGAGTAGAAGTGGAGATAGGATGTGAAGCACCTTCTCTGATTAGATTTTCTTTAGTTTTCTGTATGACCAGTGGAACAGGTGGATTCAGTCTAAGCTTTAGTCTGCGTCTTTTAGGGGGTGAAATTTCACAGTGAGGAGAACATTCTGAAATCTTTACAAAAAACAATAAGGTAAACCTAGGATAGATAAAACCACACACAAAAAAAATTAACCTCTTTCAATCTTACATCATCATCATCTTCTCCAGATAAAGCTTTTTTGGCTTCAACATCTAATATATCTAATGCTGATGAGGCGGTAGAATTTTTCTCTTTAACGGATGAGGGTGGAGATTGGCGGGTACTTCGGAGCTCAGGAGGCAGCTCTTGAAGCTTGTTTACTTTCCTAAAGACATTGCCAGGACTTGATGGAGCTGATGACTCTGGCTTCCCTTGATCTTTATGAAGTTGCTCCTGCTGCCGCCAGATAAGTAAAACAGTTTCCATTTCAGAGGGATCCAATTCTTCAAAAGCTGGTGAATTCTGCAACTAGAGTTCTTGAAAATCAATATATCATCTGCACCCACCCTACTCAAGTAAATTTAAAATAAAAAAAAAAAAAAAAAAAAAAAAAGAGAAGAGAATTAATAGATAGAGTTTAACATACCTCTGATTTGGTCACATTTGAAAAGTCTAAATTGTGTATTCTTGAGAGAACTTTGGAACCTTGCTTCTTAATTGAATTTGGAACAACTGGTTCCATTGTCACATCTTGGTTTGAATCAACTGGCAATGTGGTTGGGTTTTTCACACACCCTATGACTGAAGTAATATCACTTTTTTTAGTTAAAGTTTGTTGAGCGGAAAAGACAGAAATATCTCCACCATTTTTCATTTCTTCACTTCCATTAATTGGGATGCTGTCTGCAGTTTTGTTTGCTCCTTGTTTAGGATTCTCTGTCGCACAGTCAGTAGATTTTCCAGGTTGCTCTGTTTTAGCATTTTGCTCACTGGGAGAAAAGTTATCTAAGACTGGACTAAGTCCCTCATTACTAGTGACCTCGTCTTGACCACCAGGCTCCACACGAGAGTGAGAAACAACTTTACTTTGTGTGCTAGTTGTACTTGAAATTATATCAGTGACTAAGTTTCCTTCAATATCATCTGAGCCTTTTGCACCATGTATAATTTCAGAGACACCAATAGTTTGCTCTGATTGGTGCTGTTCGAGTTGGGGATTTGGGGTACCTGAAAAACCAAATACAGACATAAATTGCATTTCTCAGAAGCAGAAGGCTCATTGTCAGCATAATGCAAAACCAGAGAGAAAAATTACCTTCTGAATTTAATTTTGTAGGAACATCCTCAAAAAGTGACAGTCTCATTTTCTCTTTCTGTAAAAGAGCAAAAAAGTAAGGAAAAAGACAAATAAATAAATTATTGATTACGAAAAACAGTTATGGCAAGACACCTTGGCAAGAAGAGCTGAATCTGGAGTGTCATTAAGTCTTCTGCAATGAGCATTGTCACTGTCTCGAAGTAAGTCAGGAGTGATGGGATGGTCTGATAAAACAGGGGAAGGCACTGTTTGAGGAGTCTCCTCTGAAGTTAACAAACAGTTAACAGAAGGTACAGTCGATTGGCATTGCATAGTAATGATAGCTTCAGCTAGTGAATTTAGAGCTACAGAGGAGGAAGTGGCCAATTCATCACCATTCTGAATTTTTGGGTCACATTTTAAATTTGAAAGTTTGAGTGAATTAGAAATATTATTAAATGTGACACTTGAGGTTGCAGTTTGCGTTTCAGCAGTAGAGGTACTCTTAACTGAAAAATTGTCATTTACACACGCTTTGTGGTGGAGGACTGGTCGCTCCTTTCTTGAAAGTTGTACAAGTAATTCTTCACATATCTCCTTCAGAGAATAATGACTGGTAGCAGTTTGATTAGTACTGTTAATTGTGGAAGCCGAAATTCCAGGTTCACCATTAACATGCTTGTGTCCTGGAGATGTTTCACACACTGAACATGAACTTATCTGATTGTGCAAGTTATTGCCACAACAAGCAGAAACCTTGCCAAAATAACTGCCACACAAATGTGCTGGAGTCAAATGAATTGGAATGTATGGGCGAACCAATTCAAATGCGTATCTAGTGGGCAAAAGCAAACCATTATCCACAGTTTGGGAAACTTTATCCTCCATGATGGGTCCTCCTGCCTGTACAGACTGGTCAACTCGATTATTTACTCCATGGTCTTTAAGAGCGGAATCATTAGGAGGGACTTCTTTTTCTAAATGCTTTTCATTGACAGTTGTGTTTTCATCACGAAAAACCTTTTTGACAAAACCAAATAAGAACAATTTTAAAATTAAATTAAACGTTGGGCATATAATTTACTGTTTGAATACAGCCTGATAGGAAATCGCAATGTACATACCTTGAAATTCATTGTAGATATGTAATCAGTATGGTATGGTCGAGACTTCCTCTTTTTCTTAGATTTGGTGGTCAACAATGTCCTCAAAGTTTTGACAGCTAATTTAAAAGCTTTTTTTTTGGCAATGTGTTTCAAATGTAACCTGTAGTTTCTTCCAACCTTCCTCACCTTTTTATGATCAACGGCGAGCACGGGGAGACGAACAGTCTGCTCATAGAAACAAAAACATTGAGGTACTGTTTTTATTCTAAATTAGTAAAAAAAAATATACAATGCTAAGGTTATGAAAACTTACCTGCCCTTTCAGTGTTTGTACTTGTTCGTTTTGATAGGCCCTGTTTTGATCTAGGTCCATTTTCATGGTTTCCCAAAGCATATCGTTGCTATCACTTGAAGAAACATTGTCAAGAGACATTTGTTTCTCCGTGGTTTCCTCACACATGTTGGGCTTTCACTGGAATAAATAACGGCATCAAAACTAACGTCGAATTGATAATGTTTTCAGCAAATTTCAAGATTTGAAATATCCAACAGCCTTGTTCCGGGGATGAAATGTTGCCAACTGCCCTAGACAAAAAGAAAAATAAGTATGTTTCCTAAAAATCAATTTTAATATGACTCCAGCATCACATGCCTTTTGGAGTAAATGGCCCTGTATTTTGATTGGGGTAACAGGTCCATTAGAAGGACAAACATTACTGTAGTCCCAAACCGTCGTTGACTTTGTGTTGGCAACAATGGAATATGGTTCACACACCGGCCACTAGGTGGCAGGCAATACTGGTTCCAAACATTCCCTCAAAATCATTGGCGCGAGAAAATTTGAAACTGATGACAATTGATATGATTTTTTGTTCTTGAAAAAGAAAAATTTCAGAAAAGTGATATCTCGATGGCTTTGGTTTGGGTCATCATGAAAGCCTAGAACTCATTTAATTTTTCACCATACACCAATACAACACTTATGTCTATGTGTTATTCCGATAGATTAGGAAGGTCGGAGCAGATAAGACCGATGCCCGACCCAGTGCCCGATTAAGGAGCTACTTTTGGCGCCAAATAAGCACACTTTTACTTGACGTAATTTTGTTTACTCCCTTTACTATCGGCATCAAAACGGCATCTGCCAACGAGCTCCCAACTTTTTAAACCTGGGTGAAGGTGGGGGAGGGGGAGGGGGGTTGAGCTTGTAACTTTGAAGATTTCACGCAGGAGGGCGATTTTCATCACTAGATGAAAATAATAGGGTGAACGTCGACCGCTGTGGCTTGCACGGTGAGAACGTACCTGGAGCGTTGTTCCAGCAGCAGAAATAGAAAGAAGTTGACGGTTACTAATGTGGCTGGCGCTAAGATCGGTTGAAGAGGAGAACGCGGTGTCGCTGCTCCAGCAAGACCGACCGGACGAGGGGCGCACGAGAGAGGGTCTGATGCACTTCCCATCGGAGCAGCGCGGTTGACACGGCGTGGAGGGAGCCCGGGAGCTCTAGCGGCGATAACCTGCCCCCCCCC